TGATCTTTAAAATTTAGTTATTTCCACAAATCTTTTTATTTTAATTCAAGACAAATGAGGATGACATTACACTTCAGGTTCACAAAACTCGGGGCATTACACATTATATGGTCTAAGATTACCAAGCAACTGAGGATCACGAGTCATATGATTAGAAGCACCCGAGTCTAATAACCAAGAGGAACGATCAATTGGTGGTACCTGAGATACCTAAGGCAGACAACGTAGAGACAACCATTTGTTGAATCATCTCAGGAGTGAGAGAAGTGTGAGAAGAACTAGGAGGAACTGTGAGATGTGATAATGTAATTGTTTATTCAAAATGGGGCCTATCAACATGCATGTGGGACAATTTTAAAAGTGTTAGCGTACTAGTTTTTTATGTTGTAACCGCAACATTTGTTCGGCATGTTTGGTAGCAAGAATAAAATGATACTCTGTTGCAAAGAAGGAAAAACTTTGAAGTTTCCTAGACTTGTCACTAGTACAATTCAATACTGTGTACTAAAATTAATGACTACAGAGTGCATTATTTTATTTTTTGGTCATTCATTCATTTCATAAATATCCCTCTCACTCTATGCCTATTTCCATTCGAGTGAAAGCCTCTTATCTAGTGTACACGCAATCTCTTTCTTCTCATCTTTGTTTAAGCATAAAAATCCGAGTGAGATCCTCTTCTCTCTATAGTTTATACAAATACTCTTCTCCTATATGTTTTGGCTTAAAAGAATTCAAAGTTATGCTTCATAAGTGTTCAGTGTCTCTACATTTCTAAACATTAACTTACACATAAGCACCTAGAAATGAACATCTTGGAAAAAAAAAAAAAAAAGAAGCTGAAAAACATTGCTTTCTTTGTCCGTTTCCTTTATTTCTTCTANNNTTGTCCGTTTCCTTTATTTCTTCTATAGCCGGAAGAAGATTATTTGATGTGAATCCTCTCATTTTTAAGTGTTTATATGTATATATATGTTAAAGAATTACACCTTGAAGACCATCCTAAATTTTTTGAAAGGAAATAAAGGCGTTTAATTGTTCTTTTGCACAAAGGGAATGCCGGAAAAATTGCAATTGGGAACTTTTTTTGTTTTACACAAAATCAATTTTCCTTTTTCTTTCTTGAACTCTGAAACTTCTTTTTTTATCTTTCCT